TCACCATGTACGAAAAATAGAACTCACTTGGATGGCCTCTGTATCTATGGTCATGGTAATACTCAGAAACTTTGCAATCTCTGCTAAATCTGCAACAACAAGAGATATAGAAACACCAATTCAGATTGCGGAGCAAAAAACCAACAGACCAAAAAAAAAGGAAAACCCCAAAAAGATACATGGTGCTTCTCAATCACAATATACTTGGACTTAATTTACTGACACCGGATGGACCCACAATTAATCCAATAAATTAAGTCAGCAAATTAAGTTCAAATAACATTATTGATACAGAATTTGGCCGTCCAAACACTAAGAAGACCACGCACGAAATAGCAACCCAATTAACCTCACCTCGATTGAATTGCAGACAATTCAGTAGTTCATGAATAAATTCTAGCAAATGATTGTAATAAAAACCTGTTTACATACACATATGTAAATAGTATTACATTGGATGCGAGAGGTCTCTTCGTCACGAGCAATGGCGTCGCCTTGTAGATTTTGTTGAGAGAATGGTGATTTGTCGCCCAATAGCCTGCAATTCACCACAAAGATGATGACTTCAATAAATGTATGTACAAAGAGATAAAGAGAGCGTGGGGAGGGTTTTAGAGAGAGAGAGAAATACTTGAAGAAAAGCCATTCGAGAAGGGCGTAGCGCTCCATGCCGGCGAAGAGGAGAGACTGAGCAGGGGCATTGGCTCTTGGGTAATTCAACATTGCTAATTTCTTCTGAATTTCTTCCATCTGCTTCGCTGCCATTCGATCCTCTACACACTACACTAGAGAGACGGACAGACAGATATAGAGAGAGAGAGAGACAAATACAGAGACAGAAGCTTTGATTTAAGGGAGAATTATACTTAGACCCCTGAAATTTGTCATTTAATCACTTAGACTCCCTGACATTTGAAATATTATATATAGACCCTTAAAATTTGTACACGAGTAATACTTAGACCTCTGTTGTAAATATATACGTTAATAAATTACACTTATACCCCCTTGAAGCTTGTAGGTATATAATATTTAGATCATTTAAGTTTAAAATATTATACTTAGACCAAAAAAATTTCAATCAAAGATAGAATATCAAATATTTTAAATTTTACAATTAAAATATTTGATATATTATATAATTTATTAAAATAAAATTTTAAAAAATAAAAATTTATTTTTTCTTAGAAAATCGTAATTAATATACAATTATACTATCTATTAGAAGAAAATAAAAAAAAATCAAACAAGGGGTCTAAGTCATTCATAATAGAACATAAATTTTACATCCAAAATTCATATTCTATTATGTCATTTATTGAAATAAAAACAAAAATAAAAATCTAAATTTTAAGAAAAAAAACATAGTTAGTATTTAATTATACTATCTATTAGAATAAAACTAAAAAATTAAACAAGAGGATCAAATTGTAATAGACATAGTTTTAAAACTCGGCCCGCACATCAACCAGGGAAAGGGACCAGGTCAATGGGTCATTAGTTCAACCGTTGAGTCACTGGCCAGTCTGGTCGAACTGGTCAAATAATAAAAAAATAAAAAATAATTATAAATAAGCCAAAAAAATCCCAATAATTATGAAAATAGCATCAAAAATGTGTGTGTGTGTGTGTGAGAGAGAGAGAGAGAGAAAGAGAGAGGACTGTCATGTGCAGTTGTGAGGAGCAGTCGGTGTTGAGGACCAGCAGAGGACAAAGGCAAACAAAAGAAATGAAATTTGGGCAAAAAATACCCTAGAAACTTCCTTTTACATCATTTGACTTAAACCGTCCGGTTCAGAACAAATTGTCCGGTTCACCGAATTTGTTATAAAACCGGCCGAGTCAATGGGTTTTATCCGGTTCATTTGCTTAAATGATTTAATAACTAAACCGGCCCAGTTCAGGCTCCGCTTCATTGGTTCACCGGGTCAACTCGCCGGGCTAGGCCGACTTTTAAAACACTGGTAATAGACACAATATATTTTAGATTTAATTGAAAAAATTTGGTATTTTAATTTGGTCATTTAAACGACTAAATTAAATTCTAATAGACAATATAATTATATACTAATTACGATTTTTTAAGAAAAAATTGAATTTTTATTTTTGATTTTATTTCCATAAAAGATACAATAAAACATGAATTTTAATTGTAAAATTAAAAATATTTGATATTTTCTCTTTGATTGAAGTATTTTTTATCTAAGTAAAATATTTTAAATTTATAGGGTCTAAGTAATATATGTTTACAAACTTTAGGGGGTATGAGTGTAATTTATTAACGAATATATTTATAAGGGTCTAAGTGTTACGCGTGTACAAACTTCAAGTGGTCTGTGTGTAATATTTCAAATATTAGGGGTATAAATAATTAAGTGACAAATCTCAAGAGATTTAGATGTAATTCTCCCTTAATGTAATCATCACTCTCAAAACTCTTTTTGTTTTATTTTTGAGTTAATTGTAAATTGTATCCCAAAATATCGTTCGAATTTTAATTTATACCCTCAAAGATTAAAATTTATATCAATGTGCAACCCCAAAGATCAAAAATCTCAATTTACCCCCTCAAAAATAAAAATTTGAATTAGTGTGTACCCCCAAAAATAAAAAATCTCAATTTACATCCTCAAAGATAGAAATTTATATCAATGTGCACCTAAAACTAACCGCTGTTAGTTTGCTACCTAAAACTAAATTAATAAACATAAACTCCCTTATACTTGTCACTTAATCATTTGAACCATTTCCAACTCGTGAATATACGGATGAAGAGTTCCAGTCCATCATCAAGAAAGTCATGGGAGTGTTGTATGTATCTTTAACTTTTGTATTCTTTCTTCAAATCCTTGGTCAAGCTTCTGTTATATTTGTTCAGAAGTAATTTTTCTAGGTTTTGACACAATTTTTTTTATTTATAAACTATTTTGGATGATAATGACTTGTGGTAAACAGGTATTTACTAGGATTTTTCTATCCAATCTCTCGTTTGATCAGCTATTCAGTGCTTGAGAAGGTTTGGCAATGAGTATGATTGTGTTGTTTGTTATTTATGTTATGTATTGGTGAACTTGATTTCTCCTTTTAGATGACCTTCTACATGATTCTGTCATGGGTTTTATCTGGCATATGGGGCAGTTCCTTCAATCATGTGACCTCTTTGTGTATCTTACTGAATAGCTGATCAGACGAGAGATTGAATAGAGAAATCCCAGTAAATACCTTTTTACCACAAGCCATTATCATCCAAAACAGTTTATAAATAAAAAAATTGCGTCAAAACCTAGAAACATTACTTTTGAACAATTATAATAGAAACTTGACCAAGGATTTGAAGAAAGAATACAAAAGTTAAAGATACATATAACACTCCCATGACTTTCTTGATGATGGACTGGAACTCGTCGTCCGTATATTCACGAGTTGGAAAGGATCCAAATGATTTGGGTCCAAATGATTAAGTGACAAGCATGATGGGGTTTAGGTATAATTTATCAATTTAATTTTAGGTAGCAAATTGACGGCGGTTAGTTTTAGGTGCACATTGATACAAATTTCTATCTTTGAGGGTACAAAATGAGATTTTTTATCTTTAGGGGTGCACATTGATACAAATTTAATCTTTGAGGGGATAAATTGAGATTTTTAATCTTTGGGGGGTGTAGATTGATATAAATTTTTATTTTTGAGAGTGCAAATTATAATTTTTAATCTTTGGGGGTATAAATTAAAATGTGAACGATTTTTTGGGGTGCAATTTATAATTAACCATTTATTTTTTTGATTTGACCTGCGTTTAAAATTTCAAACTCTTTTTCTTTTGTTTATACGGTTTAAAAATATAAAAAAAAATTCAAATTTTATTTTGAAAATATTGATCTAAATAAATATATAAGAACTTTTTGAAATACCTCAAAATATTTTAAAATATTAGTGAAAATATATTAAAACACTTACAAATATTAAAATTTTGGTTTAATCACAAATTGCTCCCAAAAAAATCTCTTGAATCTTAATTTATACCCTCAAAAATAAAAAAAAATTAATTTGTACCCTCAAAGATATAAATATATATCAACGTGCACTTGAAACTAACCGTCATCAATTTACCGTAAAAAATTAAATGGATAAATTACACCTAAACTCGTTCAGGTTATGGGTAAATAACACCTAAACTCTTTCAGGTTTGTAACTTAATCATTAGACCCCCTCACATTTAAAATATATTTAACTATATTTACTTTGTTGTCCATTTGTTTTGGATATGATCACTACTTAAATGTTTTGTTTATCTTACAACAATTTTTGAAATTGAAACTAAAATTAGTTTATGTTTAATTGAATTGGTGTTCTCATAAAAGTAATAATAAACGCAAAAAAAAAGGTATTTTTTATGGAATGAAGAGTTTAATCTGTGTTGGAGATTAAGCTAATCTCTTAATATTTAATTATTTTTTATTAGTAAGTTTGTAGTGTTTTAGGAGTTGTTATTATGTTATGAGTAGAATTAATTTTGTTACCAGACTTCTTGAATATGTGAATGTGAAATAGTTTTAAATTAGTAAAATTATATTTAGAAGTTTTCTTGATTTTCTATTGTAATGTGAGAAAGCCTTATTGAATTCAAGAAGTCATTGAATGCATCCAATAACTTTTTATTTTATCATCTTCATACACTTCGTATTTTTAAAAAATATAAACATAATTTTATTATCTAAAACATGTGCATTACTAGTAAGCAAAGAAGTCTGGTAATGCATAATCACTTGTATGAGAGGAAGTGGACCTATTATTATTTTCTTTGGTTATATCAGTTTTACACCCCATATTTACTGCATAGAGTGAGGGAGACAACAAGTAAACAAACCGAAAGGTTCACACAAATATCTCTCCCGCACACCCAAATATCATTAACAGTCTCCTTTCTTCTTGCTTTCAGTTGCAGAATCAATGTCTCCCTCCGTCTCCCTCCCTCTCTCTCTATATTTCTCTCTCTAAAGATGCTTACTTTAAATCTTTTTCCAACCTCAAGTGTCACTTTCTCCAGATCTGGTTACAAGTATCCAATTAATGATTCACTTTTGGGTCAAAAACTTGTGAACGAGAACCAAAACCAGAGAACCCCACATGTTCCATCTCTTCCACTCAACAAACACATCTCTCACCTTAATGAACCTAGGTTGAGTTCAAGCTTCATCAATATCCATGGCTACTCACTTGGGTCTTTTTCAAATCCCACATCTCATATCTCCAACCTCAACATTTTTGGACACCAAGTTGGGTTTTCTTCAAAACCTACTTCTAATATCCCTCAAGCAGCATCTAGAACCTCACAAGAAGCAAACCCGAATGGAGAAATTGAGGTTTCAAAGTCCAACAAATCCCTTCAACTTCTTGTCATTTTTGGCCTCTGGTACTTCCAAAACATTGTGTTCAACATCTACAATAAAAAGGTATTGAACATCTTCCCATTCCCATGGCTTCTTGCCTCTTTTTAGCTTTTTTGTGGGTCTCTCTGGATGCTCATTCTCTGGTCTTTCAAGCTCCAACCATGCCCAAAAATCTCCAAATCATTCATCATTACCCTTCATGGACCTGCACTGTTCCATACAATTGGCCACATCTCAGCCCGTGTCTCATTCTCTAAGGTGACTGTTTCTTTCACCCATGTAATCAAATCTGCAGAACCTGTTTTCTTTATCGTGTTTTCGTTGATCCTTGGCGATACATACCCATTAACTATTTGGCTCTCAAATCCTCCCCAGTGTTATGGGTTGTTCTCTAGTTGCCATCACTGAAGTTTCCTTCAACTTTGCAGGCCTATGGGGGGCTTTAATTAGTTCTTCGCAATATTTATTCTAAAAAAAGTTTGCAGAGCTTTAAGGAAGTAAATGGGTTGAATTTGTATGACTGGATTAGTATAATTTCATTGTTATATCTATTATCGGTGGTAGTTTTTGTTGAAGGGTCCCAATGGATTGCAGGGTAANTTCTTCGCAATATTTATTCTAAAAAAAGTTTGCAGAGCTTTAAGGAAGTAAATGGGTTGAATTTGTATGACTGGATTAGTATAATTTCATTGTTATATCTATTATCGGTGGCAGTTTTTGTTGAAGGGTCTCAATGGATTGCAGGGTAACATAGTGCTATTGAAACTATAGGAAAATCGTCCACATTTTATAGTTGGGTGATCTTATCTGGGGTGTTTTACCATCTCTATAACCAATCATCTTACCAAGCACTTGATGAGATTAGCCCCTTGACATTTTCTANATAGGAAAATCATCCACATTTTATATTTGGGTGATATTGTCTGGGGTGTTTTACCATCTCTATAACCAATCATCTTACCAAGCACTTGATGAGATTAGCCCCTTGACATTCTCTATGGGAAACACAATGAAGAGGGTTGTGGTGATTATCTCCACTGTCTTGGTTTTCAGGAATTCGGTTAGGCCTTTGAATGAGCTTGGATTTGCCATTGCAATATTTGGGACTTTCNTCTTGTCATTTTTGGCCTCTGGTACTTCCAAAACATTGTGTTCAACATCTACAATAAGAAGGTATTGAACATCTTCCCATTCCCATGGCTTCTTGCCTCTTTTTAGCTCTTTTTTGGGTCTCTCTGGATGCTCATTCTCTGGTCTTTCAAGCTCCAACCATGCCCAAAAATCTCCAAATCATTCATCATTGCCCTTCATGGACCTTCACTGTTCCATACAATTGGCCATATCTCAGCCCGTGTCTCATTCTCTAATGTGGCTGTTTCTTTCACCCATGTAATCAAATCTGCAGAACCTGTTTTCTTTATCGTGTTTTCGTTGATCCTTGGCGATACATACCCATTAACTATTTGGCTCTCAAATCCTCCCCAGTGTTATAGGTTGTTCTCTAGTTGCCATCACTGAAGTTTCCTTCAACTTTGCAGGCCTATGGGGGGCTTTAATTAGTTCTTCGCAATATTTATTCTAAAAAAAGTTTGCAGAGCTTTAAGGAAGTAAATGGGTTGAATTTGTATGACTGGATTAGTATAATTTCATTGTTATATCTATTATCGGTGGCAGTTTTTGTTGAAGGGTCTCAATGGATTGCAGGGTATCATAGTGCTATTGAAACTATAGGAAAATCGTCCACATTTTATAGTTGGGTGATCTTATCTGGGGTGTTTTACCATCTCTATAACCAATCATCTTACCAAGCACTTGATGAGATTAGCCCCTTGACATTTTCTATGGGAAACACAATGAAGAGGGTTGTGGTGATTATCTCCACTGTCTTGGTTTTCAGGAATTCGGTTAGGCCTTTGAATGAGCTTGGATTTGCCATTGCAATATTTGGGACTTTCTTGTACTCTCAGGCTACGGCTAAGAAGCCGAAGAAAGATGGAGGTGAAAAGAAGAACTAAAGCGATCTCATTTTTCAGTTATTTATCTATTGGATATGATATTGTCTTTTGGATCCCGTTGTCGAAATTCCATTGTTTTGGTGTTTTCTTTTTCCATCATAATGTGTTAGCTGTTTGTTTTTTTTTGGCATGTTCTCATGGAATGTGAGTAACAATAACATAACTACTTTTGGATATAAGAATGTTTGCATAGTGTTGCTTTGGGTTCAGATTGGTACATTCATCGCGCAATGGTATCTTTAGATTAACATGTGGATGAAAAATTGGTCGAAAGGTGAAGAAAGGCTCATGAGTGTACCTATTAAAGGGTAAATCAGTTGACAGTGAGTGTCTAAATATTTTCTCAGTCTCTTCATACAGCACAAAGATTGTTGATGCGACTACCTGTAAATGAGAATTGCTTGTTTGTTTGTAAATTTTGGTGGAGGATGTTTTTTTTTATTCATAGTAAAAAATTATTTTCTTTATATGGGGTTCGTCAGTGGTCATTTATCTATAGGATTCTGNAAAGATTGTTGATGCGACTACTTGTAAATGAGAATTGCTTGTTTGTTTGTAAATTTTGGTGGAGGATGTTTTTTTTTTATTCATAGTAAAAAATTATTTTCTTTATATGGGGTTCGTCAGTGGTCATTTATCTATAGGATTCTGCCATGGAGAAACATGTACCATTTTGGTATTTAATTCTAGTTTGTGCATGCATGTGATATCCCATTATATGCCCTGGTGATATGTGGGATGTATGTAATGAAATTATGGTCCTCAAACCTTAGTTCGAGTAGTGAAGATGTCAGGGGTGTGGTTGTTTTACTAAGAAAGAAAACCCAAAGGAGATAATCACGTGAAATTTTCTTGATCATGTGGTGCGATTGGAGTACATGCAACTTCTTTGTTTGAAGAAAGAAGACACCAACAAGAGGGATATGATTTGTGTAATTTGCTAGTGTCTTTAATGAAGAAAAGGCTAGCTCTCGAGTGATCAAATGTTCATTTCTCTTTAGCAAGATATGATTAAACACTTTTTTACTTATGTGTGGTTTAATTTGATAACAAATTACCTTAACATATTTCAAAATCATACACATAAGCCACCTAGGATTTTGGATTGAGTGCAAATCATTAATTCGATTAATGGAAATATCAAACTGACACAAGACATCAGTCTTTTGGGCTTCAGATTTGTATTGACATTAATGTAGAGTTGTGTAATTGTTATTTCCTGGCAACGAATCTGTTGTTTGGTTTTCTTGATGATAGTGTGACCATGTGGATATCAGAGAATGGTGAAAATAAGTTGGCAGGAGACTGAATTTTCTTGGCTTCGCATCATCTGTCATTTGCTTTACTTCTTTCAAATACTTATACATCCTGTTTTTATTATTTGCTTCCTTTTTTTCTCTCTTTTTTTGTCATGTTGTTTCTCTATCACTTTAATCTCTTGTCTTTATTTAATCATATTATTCAAGAATTGGATTTTGCACTCTCACTTTTACATAACTCATCTATCTCTGCGAACCGTGTCATATTGACTGTGGGTACTGAGTTGTGTTCTTTGACATGCCCTTCAACTCATGTTTGCACTTGAAGAAATTTGTTCATCAATAAACAGGAGGCATTTGTTTTCACCCGTTTGCTCGACTCTATTTTGAGCCTTTCTAAAGTTTGTTTTTTTGCAGCACAAGGGAAGTGACAATTTCAGCTTCAGGGTCATAGTGACAATATGGATTAGTTTGTTGAGATGAAAATCACACCCTAGTGAGAAAATTCTTCTTTGATGCAAGATTCTAACAAGGTGATTTCAAATCTTGGAGGTGACAAAGCATGTTCTTAGAATTGTGGTTGCATTTCCTAGTAGTCTAGAGGCATACTATAAGTACATAGTTTTCAGCTGGAAATTGTTAAAAACTTGTTTCCAATCATCCAATGTGTAGAGTTTGGTATGAATATACTCTTGGTTTTGATTGGTAGCTACAGTTGTGAAGCATAAGTATAATGAAATGTTAAAGTTGGGCTGTTATTGTATCTATTGTTCAAATCATTCTATTTGTTTTTTTGATCTGCTTGTGGAGTTGTATACCTTTTACAGGTTTGCTCACTAGCCATAAACTTATATTTGCCTTACNTTATTGTATCTATTGTTCAAATCATTCTATTTGTTTTTTTGATCTGCTTGTGGAGTTGTATACCTTTTACAGGTTTGCTCACTAGCCACAAACTTATATTTGCCTTACAATTTGCAATAAAAATGGTTGGTCTAGGTTGTCTCAGCTTTGTAAAATTTGGAGGAGACATGGATTTGAGAGGTGCAATAGAGTTGTGGTAAAGACTCAAAGGGGGAATGAAGGTCTTCGCTAGAAGTTCTTGCTCGATTATTCGATGACCATATTAGGCTCTTATGGTCATGGATTTTGAATTTGATCCCTCTATGTCATGTCAATAGTTAATTGTCCAAGCTACAAAAAAACATGGGTTTTGTTAGATAACTTAAGTTGTGATTGGGGTTCAGTGTTCAATCCCAAGTACTTAGAGCAACTCCAAAAGACTAGCTAAAACCCTTTTTTGAGTTATTTTAGATAGTTTCTCCCTAAAATGTGGCCCCAACAGACTAGCTATTCTCCCATCCATTTCCCATAATCCCCTTTTCACTCGCTTCATCTAGCTAGCCAGTCTCTCCCTCGCTCCATCCTTCTCTTCGATTCTGAGAGACTCTCATCTCTCTCTGCCTCTCCATCGATTGCCCTCAAAGCCACAAACCATTGAAGCCACAAGTACCCTGAAATCTTATTACCGCCTCCAAACTTAAATCCCAAATAAATCACATGACTTAAATCCCAAATCAAGCCACAAAACCTAAATCCCAAATCAATCAATCAAACTCGAAGCTTTTAGACAGAGCATCCTCTTTCTCTCAGACCATCGATCGAAGTCAAAGCCTTTAGAGCTGCTTCAGAGTCAAAGGCACAAGCCAACACAACCCACAAGCCACAAGCCTTCAGAGCCACAGTGCCACTGCCATACCATCTTGGTATGTTTGATTTGAGAGGGTTTTGATCTAAGAGGCTTGCTCAAGGGCACCGACTGTGAAGGTTTCACTCTCGTGTTTGATTTCGTAGTTTGAAGCATGGAATTTGTGGGAATTTTTTGAGGGTTTGATCTGAGAGGTTTCATCGTTTGATCTAAGATGCTTCCTCGTCAAATTTGTGGGTTTGATCTAAGAGGCTTCATCGTCAAATTTCTAGCAAAATCCCCAAAAAATGCAGCAAAACCCTCCCAAAAAATTCAGCAAAAACCTCTAAAAAATGCTAGTTGAATTGCTATTTTTTGAATTTTATTATTGAAAATTAGTTGAAAGTGATTAGCTAAAATAGATAGTGTTGTTGGAGTGAATTTGAAAAAATGATTAACTAAAGTAGATAATATAATATTTAAATATATTTTTAGTAGCTATTTTAGATAGCATTATTAGAGTTACTCTCAGTTATTTAGGGGTATTTTGGTGTTAAATTATAACAACTAGCATTAGTTTGGACTAGAAGACTAATATTATACGACAATGTGTCCTTTAGCTCTTAAAAGATAGGGCTTAGACCTAAAAGCAAAGAAATAAAATAAAAATGTGAGTATACTTTTGGACAATTTTCACTAAAAAGTGTAGCATCATGATCACCTAAAATATAAAATAAATCAAAAACTATGGGACCTTAAACCGTAGGATATATAAGTGACATAGGAGAACATAGCACTGTAAGCATTCCGAGATATGGATGTTATTTGCAACATGACACTACTACACGATTAACAAAATGAATTGATTATTTTATGATAAAAGTGAATAAGTTAATTTAGTGTCGAATATGAATAATTTATTGATACAATAATATGTTTAATACCCCTTATAAAAATGTACATTATTCCTTTATTTACAATTTTTTTGAATTATTGTAGAATTACATGAGTTTTGACCTATTTTTGCTACAACGTGGATAAAGTGCATTTTAATTATGGAGGTCCTATCCCACATAGACCAAATTGGCATATGAGGGATTTCATAGAGGTAGTTGATGATTGCAACCTGGTGGACCTAGGTTTCAAAGGTTATCCATTCATATGGCGGAATGGGATCATAGTCGCTTTCTTTACTAAGGCAAGGTTGGATAGGATTTTGGGGTTCTGAATTTTGGATTACAATGTGCTGAAAATATGACATCCCCACAATAGAATAAATACTCACATATAATGTCATTCTATTGCAATAATTAAATTTTAATTAAGTATTTTATTTAGCATGTTACTGTTTAATGTTACTATTTTTTTGTTGAGCATATACATATATATATATGAATGATAGAAAAATAATTTTAATACTAGCACAATTTCCAAGTTATGAGTTATTTTATTTGAAAACATTAAAACTAATAATGATAAATAATATTTATGGTAAGGGTAATTATGGAATATATTTCAAAAATTTTTTGAAATGTTTTAAAATGTGTATTTGTTGACAACTATTTGATTTAAGTTTTTCTAAATCTTTTGGTGTGTTTATAGTTGTATTCCACTCACTCACTTCCATAGAAAATTTATATTCATTATTTTTTGTGGTGAAAATATATAAAATTGATTCATTTTTAGTCTTAATATAAATTTTTAGCCCATATAATTTATACTTAAATTGTCTGTGTTATCAAAGTTTTGTACTTCGTGTGTGCACATTGCTAATGGATAAAGAATGATTATTTGCTCATATATATTTTATTATTAAATTATGTGCTAAAAACTTAAATTGATAAAATTTTATTTACAATATGGAAGTCCTATCCCACCTAGACCAAATTGGCATACGAGGGATTTCATAGAGGTAGTTGATGATTGCAACCTGGTGGACCTAGGTTTCCAAGGTTATCCATTCATATGGCAGAATGGGATCACAGTCGCTTTCTTTACTAAGGCAAGGTTCGATAGGATTTTGGGGTTTTGAATTTTGGATTAGAAAGTGCTAA